GTTGGCAGTCATTGGAAAAAAGCTAGCAAACTGACTCAGGCAATATAAAAGTAAAAGTGGCAAATCACTTATCCTGCTTTTCCTGTTTGAAGTTCACCACATATTAGCAATCAAAAGTGGAAGTTTCTTTGTCTATAAGAATCACAGGTAAAGAACTGGGGATATGGCTCAGTCATACTTGGGTTGCATGGCCCAAGCCTGAAAACTGAGCTCGGATCACCAGCACCCACAAAAAAACACAGGTGTGGTAGTGTGCATCCGTAACCCCCGCACTCAGGGAGCAGAGATAGGTAGATCCCTGGGACTCATTTACCAGCAGGCTAGCCAACTCCATGAGCTCCAGGTTCAGTAAGAGACCCTGTCTCAAAAAAATGTGCCTGGGGAACAATCCAATCAAGGAAGACACATGAAATCTACCTCTGACCTCAACACACACACACACACACACACATACAACACACATACACACACACATATACACATACACACACACAACACACATACACAACACACACATACACACACACACACACAAATTCCAGCTAATAAGTGAAAAAAAGAATGGATCCCATGATGTATGTATGTATGTATGACCCTGATGAACAGCTTGGCAGGTTAGGCAGTGATCCACCTAGTCAACTGTTGCTCCTATGTCCTGGATTCAGAAACTCAGCCCCATGATGAGAAGATACAGCACCAAAACATACCCAAAGTGAATGTGTATCTAACAGTCTGTAATCAATTGCTAATTGACAGGAAGTACAAAGGTTATAAGCCACACTAGGAACAATCACTAAAACTCAGAGAGTGGGAAACTCTAGGAAGAATGATCATGTTTTTTAAATCAACAAAAAGAATGGCTAAGATTAAGAAAACAAAAGACAAAAAATGCTGGTGAGATGTGGGGAATCAGGATTCCTCATGTACTACTGTTGGAAGTGCATATTGGTGCAGCCACTGTGAAAGTCAGTGTGGTGGTTCCTCAGGAAACTAGAAACAGATCGTCCATATGACCCAGCTGTACCAGTCCTGGGTAGATACCCAAAGGACTGCTACTACAGAGACACTTGCTGATCCATGTTCATATCTGCTCTATTCACAATAGCTAGGACATGGAAATGGCCTAGATGTCCATCAGCTGAGGAATGGGTAATGAAATCCTGGTACCTATATACAATAGAATTTTATTCATCCATAAAGAAAAATGAAATTTACAGGTTAAGGGATGGAGCTGAAAATAATCATTCTGAGTAAGGTAACCCAGACCCAGAAAGACAAACATCATGTGTTTTCTATATGGTTCTTTTAATGTGAGCACTTAGAGCTGTGAACTTTGCTGTTAGAGCTCCTCGGCTGTGTCCCAGAGCTTCTGGTAGGTTTGCTATCCTTTTCTCAGTCTCCGGATCTTAATTGTACTGAAGAATTATTGTTAATTTCATTGTGTAATAGTAGTGTTATGGTTATGTTTTACAGTCTTCTGGAGATATACTTAACTGTGAATGAAATAACGTTAAAAGCAGTTTTCTTTCAAAATGATGTGGAAAGGAGAAATGGTTGGATATAAAAGAAATAAGACTAGCTAAAAGTTGGTCATTGTCCTATCTGAGTGGCCCGTTGATGTTTATCATATTCATCTGTCTACTTTTATGCAGATTTAATTTTTCCAATAGGAAAAATATTTGTAGTTATATTTATTTTCTGTGTGTGTTTGTATGGGCATGCACATTCCACAGCATGTGCAAGGTCAGAGGATATTTAATAGGAGTTGATTCTCTCCTTCCACTATGTGGAAGGATCCGAAGGATCAAACTCAGGTCTTTAGTCTTGGCAGTAAGCACCTTTACCTGCTAAGCCCTTGCACTAATCCCAGGAAAAATATTTTTTTAATATATACATCACGTTTTTTCTTTATTCTCCTCTTTAAATAACTGAGGAGAAAAGTATAGGAATTGAATTGGACCTGTAATCCCAGCTCTTGCTAGTACTCCAGAGGCTGACACAGGATGGCAAGTTCAGAGGCTGCAGAGTGAACTCTGTCTCAGAAAGAAACCAAAAAAAGAGGAAAGAAAGGGAAGGAAGGAAAGAGGAGGAGGGAGGAAGGGAAGGGAAGAAAGGTCTAGGGACTGGGGTACTTAAATGTCTTTTCTAATTGTTAGTGCCCCACTGCCTCCTGTATGTTAATCTACCCTGTGCTCTGGGAAGTGGCACAGGTCCCAGTCAATCCCTGGATGGGAAGCCATGCCCCCCACCACCCCTTCTGCACCTGCTGTCCAGGTGCAAAGGGCTCAGAACCCATCACGCACGCTGCCTCCCTCCAAACCTTGGTCTAAATGGTAACTAGGACTGCCCACCATTGTTTCTAGAGCTTTCTTTCATTCCCATAGAGACACAATGGCAGTCATTTCAGAAAATGAACTTTACCAAGGAAAAGACCAAAAAGAGCCAAGTAGCCATGCTGCAGTATCTGTAGCCAGGGCACCAGCCAGGGCACCACACATTCCTAAGGCCCCTCTTGTTTGTTATAGGCAGGCCTATCTGTCGTCATGCCCCCAGCCTCTGCCTGTTTCTCCTGCCTTGCTATCTCACTGTCCTTCTTACCCATGGCTTTTAGGTTGAGTTTTTCAGATAAATTGCTTTGTTGCAACGAAAATTACTTATAAACCTGTATAATCCTTTCTAGCTATAGCACATGGGAACTTGCTTTGAGACCGATCATGTGCACAGGATGCTTTGCCAGGCCAAGCTCCCCACCCTCACACCCCTACTTTCAGAGGCTCTCTGATTTTCCTCCGAACCAAGAACATGAATGCTCTGGAAGCTTTATCTCAGTCATGTTATGTGCAGAGAAACCTGAGCACTTGCCTCAGCCACAATGATGGAGCAAGCATATGCCTGGAAAGAGAAACACTGGCATCTGAGCTGAGATGCCATGAATCCCAATGGTGTCTGAGCGTCTGTGAGCGCCTCACCAGAAAGGGTTCCTCCATTGTGAGGCAGGACAGACTGAACTAGACTGCTGTTTTATTATTTTGAGTACACATTAGCAAACTAACAACAGGACTTCAGTTCCTTCAGCCTCATTTCTTTTCATTCCTGCAGCAATTTTCAGAGTCAAGACTGTTCTGATCCTCATAGCTCAGACCACAAGAGCACAGCCCCAGGGAGTGACTCACTTGCCCAGGTCGTGCAGTGAGGATGCAGTAGGGGGGTTCATGCCCAGCAGGTTGTTGGCTCCCCAGGTTATTCTCTACCCTAGACCTCTGCTGACTCCCAGCCTGTGTGTCACTGCAAGCCTGTGACTCCCCCTGGTCAAGGCCTGTGCTCTGTAGGCCATATCATCAGAAAGATCTGCATGAGTTCTACTCCCCACTGATACATGCAGCCCTGACCTGAAGCTGGCTGTCCCTGAACATGTCCCTGCAGCCAACATGTGTGTCCCCAGCCTGCCTCCTAGCATCAGTCAGCAATTCCAGATGAATTCCCATGCCTTCCAGAGCCTGAGCTGGCGAGGGGGGGGTGTGTTGATGGTGCTGAGGCTCCATGTATTGATGGTACTGAGGCTCACACCAGCATTGAAAATACTTATCGTGCTTGTTCATTAGAATGTATGTGTACTCGGTTCTTTAAAAAGTAGCACTAAAAGTTTGTCTCAGTTCCTGAGTGGCTTTGTACCCTACTGCCTCTGTGTATGTGATTTCTCCTACTTTCCCTTCATCCTACCCCAGTGTAGGCCAGGCACTGCAAACCTGAAGAATGAGGAAAGAACAGTAGTTCGAGCTCCCAGCACCTGTCCCTCCCCTGTGTGTGATGCTGTCACCAGCTGTTGAGCACCCCACCTGCTCCTCAACCACCCCTGGTCTTCCCACCTGCCTCAATGAGCAGAACACGTTGCTCTAACCCCAACCTTCAGGCTCAGCCTCCATTCACTCACCCTCCAGTCTCCAGTTCCAACATCCACAGACAAGCACATCCCAGACACGTTTATCTGGGCTCCACTGAAACAAACTGAGAAATGGGTGCCTGGGCATAATGTATCACATCTCTGCCTTGTGATATTGCTCCCTCTGGTTTAGACCTGTTCAGCTTCCCAGATCCAGCAGTCACTCTCTATGACTGCCACATGTCTTTGTGCCGGTCCCTCTGCTCAGAAGTTAAGTGCTGGGAAGACATCTATTCCCATACAGCAAACATGGGTCACTTGAGTAATGAATGTAACTAGCTGCTCTGCGAGGGAAAAAGCCTGATGCTAAAGGGAGGCCATAGTTCTACCTGACATCTAGAGGTGGTTACTTCTTTCTGCCATAGTGAAGCATCCTTAGAGCTGGAAGTGTGAGGGGATTTGGGGGTCCCTGCTAAGAGTTTATTGCAAGGAGCCCAGGCATCCATCAGAGTGGTAAATGGTTAAGCAAAAGGTGGTATACTCCCTGTGGAATATTACTCAGCCTTGAAAAAGTGAAATCAACAACACAGATGAACTTGGAAGATGTTGTGCTAAGTGGAAAAAGTTAATCACAAAAAAGACAAGTATTGTGAGGTTTAACTTATAGGAATATCTAGTCAAATTCATAGAAAGTAGAACAGGAGTTACCCTGGGGAAGTGAAGGGTCAGAGTTTCCTTTTAGTAAGCTGAAAATGTTCTGGAGAAGATCATGATGTTGCTAATATCACTGAACTGCATGGTTAAAATGGAAGCTAAGATTAAATGTATTGATGTAGTTACCAGCAAGCTTGAAAACAATTCTATTCTGGGACAGTAACCCTCCTTGAAATATAGGTGTTCACTAAAAGGAACTCCAGACTTCCTTCTCTTGCCAGTATCCACTTGTAGGAACCAGTGACCAGCTGGCCAGAAACCACCTGTAGCACCCAGGCAGCAAAGGGCCTGCCTTGGGCAACTGAACTCACCGTAGATGCAGCCCATTTTGACAAGGAGCGAAGCATGCTGGGCCCATTCCCAAAGTGAGGGGAGTAACGTGCTTGTTCTCTGATTTGTCCCACAGGCAGCAGTGACAGAAGAAGAGACTCTCACTGCATGGAGAGGAGGAAGACAGAATCTCCTAACTGGTACCACATACATCAGGTCAAGCCATTTTCTTAATTTTGGGCCTCATCAATCAAACACCACTCCCAAGTAGGAGCCACAGGCTGGATAGGATGGTAAAAATGGATAGCCCTGAGATGACAACCTCCCACCAGAGACCTCAGTCCCCACACCTCAGGATCTTGTGTCCTCCCTTGCAGAGGTGCCCAAAACTAATTCAGAACTGTACAACAGAGGTGGTAGGAGGTTCCATCTACCTGCTGGGCCTCTGTGTGTGTATGTCCATGAGTGTGCACATGTGTGTATACATGTGTGGTCACATGCCCCTTCAAGTTCATGTTGTGGTGAGACTGAAACGCTCTCCTCTTGCTCCCTGCAGATGGATGGTCTCTAGTCTGCTTCCAAACCTGCCCTCGGCTCAGTGCTGGGCAGCACTTCTACATGATCCTATGACGCTTGATATGGATGCAGTCCTGTCAGACTTTGTTCGGTCCACGGGGGCAGAACCTGGTCTGGCCAGAGACCTGCTGGAAGGTAAGTGGACTCCTGATCCCCCATACCACCCCATTCAGGCTTGGTCACCGTCCAGCAGTGACAGAAGATAAGAAGGTTCCTATAGCCTAGTGCCACTTGGACAGCACTTGGCCTCTTTTGAAGTAAAAGCAAGTGTTGGTGCTGGGGGCAGGATTCTCTTGTTCTTGTTATTTGGTGAAGGGCATAGATCTCCCAGCTCTCCACTATAAAGGTGTATGCCACACAGAGGATGCATTGCCTGGTGAGTGCTTACAGGTTCTGAGTCAAACTAATAGTAGTCGTTTTTAAGGAAATAGAATCAATGGAGTAGAAATTCCAGAATATTTAAGAATATACTTTCCTTGGAGACCTTACCTTCCATGATTCTGTCTTAACTGAGACACAGATATCTTAGGCCAAAATTATTGGTGGAAAAAAAAACCACCTACTACTAGCCAGGTGGTTAGAAGTGAGTCACAACCAAGAAATGAAAGTGTGTCTTTAGTCTTTCTAACTAGAACATTTGTGACATGGAAAATGTGTTGTGTGTATATATGATGTTTCTAGAGATCTGTCTCTTTAACTATAATCACAGTAGACTAGTAATTAAAGTTCAGTTGTCAATTCTAAGACTGGCTTTTCTCTTCCTCTTTGGTGAGGTTGGTGTTAAAGCAATGTAAAGGAAAAAGCACCAGTCACAGGTTTTGGGGATGTTCAGATGTGGGGAGAGGGAACTGTTCTCCAAGACCATACTGCTTCAGACATATGAGTTACAGTCTGTGGAAATGATAGTCAAGTGCTATAAGCCACAATGATTTTTAAGTCACTTAGAGAAAACTGAGTTACTAGACCTTCTCATATGCATAAGTAACTGTTCAAAGTTAGAAGCATCCGTTGGAGAACTATGAGGAAACCGCAATGGGGTGGTCCTAAAATTCCCTCAGCCTCTCATAATTTCAGCTCACATGATGCTTGTGAATAAAAATGTGGTCCTCAGCCCCCAGTTCAGGTTATGTAATGTCCCCTACTGGTTCCCATTGCTCTGGTTACTGTAAGGAGCAGCCTTGAGGATGAGCAGGTTTCAGTAAGGCTACCTATGAAAGCTTGTCCAAGTTGATTCAGCCTCTTGTCAAAGAAGGATGGCCAGTTATTTGACTTCCTCTATCCTTAGGTTTTTTTGGATTTTTTTTCTTGTAACCTGAGCCTGACCCTCCTTTACAGGGTGATGGTGGACCATGGGAGTCGTGATAGGAAATGGCTGGTGAAGCCTGCAGCACAAAGCAGGTGCCCAGAAGCAGTGCGGGTCACTCCTGCCACTGCTATAGCCAGCACTCACATGTGTCCCATTTCCCAGAAGCCTTAAACACAATGCAAGTGCTGTTGTGCCTTTTCTTTTTCCCTTTATTTTTTAATAAGTAAAATTTGGGACTGGAGAGATGGCTCAGCAGTTAAGAGCACTGACTGCTCTTGTAGAGGACCTGGATTCAGTTCCCAGAACCCACATGGTGGCTAACAACTGTTGGTAACTCCAGTTCCAGGAGATCTGACTCCATCTTCTGGCTTCCATGGGCATTGCACACACATGGTACACTTCCATACATACAGGCAAAACACTCATAAAATAAAAATAAATAATTTTTGTTTTAAAAGATACATAAAAGGCGACTGTGACCAGTGATAGTCATGTATATAGAGATTAGAAATGTATGTGAAAACGTCTCAATGTCAATTGCCTTGGAATGAATTTTTCTGTATGAAACTGTGTGTTTTGACAACGAAGTGGAAATCTTTTTTAAACGTTGGAACCTCATTTAATTTTATGTCTTATAGAGTTTATAATGAGTTAAAGATTATATAAGCGTAATAATTCATCTGTAAACCTAAAAATGTACAGCCAATTTTGAAAGAGATGTACCCTAACTCAGAAAAATGTTATTGAATAGGTTAATGCTGTTGTAATGAAATGCTTCTTCTAATTAAAAAACAACAACAAAAAAAAGATACATAAAAACTGGTGCTTGTGCACAAATCTGTGCATTTTAGCACATGTATGAACTTCTATGAGAACTTGTATGAATAGGTTCCACCATCAGACACAGCCCTACTTCCACACCTCCATGTGCTCTGTGCCCTATATCATAGGGCCATGCCAGCTGAGTCCTGTGGCATTCACAGCTCTACCAGTGGTTTTGCCCGGTTCAGAAGTGTTGTGTTCGTGGAGCCCATTGTTTGATCTTTCAAAGCCAGCATTTCATTCAGCATATTCCTGTGAGTTCATCCCAGTTGTATACCAGTAGTTTATTTCTTTTTGTTGCTGAGTAATGAGACATGGACTGTAGCTTGTTGACCCGGGTGACTCTTGAAAGACATTTCAGTTGTTTCCAGTTTGGGGTGGTTATGGCTTGTGTTTATAAATATTTCACAACAGGTTTTTGTGAATGCATTTTTAAAATTTTTCTCAGGTAAATGCATGAAATCAGGCTCACTGGCTGCATATGGTGTATTTTTACCTGCATAGTGTTTTCCACAGTGGTGGGCCATCATGCATCCCCACCTGCACACAAGATGCCTGTCTGTACCACATCTTCTCCAGCACTTGGTTTTCTTTCTGTTTCTGTTTATTTTAGCCATGCACAGAAATATGTAATGATGTTTCAGCATGGCTTTGGTTTTACTTACCTGATGGCTAATGGTGCTGAAATGATTTCATGTTATGGTTTTCATCTGCGTACTCTATTTTATGAAACATCTGTTCAGACCTTTTGCCTATTTCCAAATTAAGTCTTTTTCTTGTACGTTCTTTGTAGGGGCTGGAGAGATGGCTCAGCAGTTAAGAGTACTGACTGCCCTTTCAGAAGATTAGTGTTTGGTTGGTTCCCAGCACCTACGTGGTAGCTAACAACCATCTCTAATTCCAGTTCCAGAGGATCCTATGCCTGCTTCTGGCCTCCCAAGCTGTTATATGACATGGGTGTACTTACATACATATAGCAAAACACTCATATACATAAAAGTGAGTTTGCATTCCTAATGGACATGGCGTTCAGATGTTCTCCCTGCTCCTGTTCAACTCCATTCTCCTCAAGGTGCTTTGGCAGCGCAGTAGTCAGCTTTGATGTCCTGCAGCTTCTCGGTTTTGTCCTTTGTGGCTCCCGCCTGTGAGTATCTAAGAACTTTGGTGTAGCCTGTGGCTGTCAGTAGCTTTAATGCCACTCTGTTGAAAAGATCATCTCTCTTCCATTGAATATGAATTACCTTTTCAGTTTTCAAAACCAACTGTGGTCTCTGCACGAATCTATCCCTTCCCTTGACTGCTGTGTCTGCTTCCTTGTGATAGGGCACCACAATAATTCCTGGGGCTTTGTGGGGAGTCTTGCAACAGATGGTATGCTTCCGAATTCTTTCTTCTCTTTCAAAACCATTTCAACCACTCCATTTCCTTTGCCTTTCCATGGAATTTTTTGATCACCTTGCCTCTAATGAAGTGCCCTAGGACTTTGATTGGAATTGCTTTAAGTGTTCAAGGAAATCCTTGCTACGTCATATCCTAACCCTGAAGTACAGCCATGTTTTCTATTTATTTTGGCCTTGAATTCTTTCATCAGTATTGTGTAGGTTTCACCAAATGGATGTCTCACTTGCTTTGTAGGTTTATATCTGGGAGTTTTGTTTCTTGCAAAAATGGGAATCTAATTTTTTAGCTTCCAATTCAATTGTTCAATGCTAATATACAGAAATATGATTATTTTATGTTGTGTTGTACCTTGAAATATTGCTAAATCTAAACTCATTTTTTCTAGGTGTAGGCTGTGCATGTATATGTGTTCATGTGTATGCAAGTATGTATATATGTATGCATGTGCATGTGTACATGTGTATGTGTGCACATAATGCATGCATGTATGCATGTATATGTGTGTGCATTTGTGTGAGGCATATATGTGTACATGTGTGTATTTCTCCTTAAAATATCAGCAAATATGATCATGTTGCCTCTGAACAAGAAGCTTTATTTCTTCTTTCAATTCTTTTTTTTGGTTGACTTCACTGACTAGAATTTCTGTCAAAGGTTGACTAGAAATGGCGTAAGGGTGCCCTTGCTGTGCCCTTAACCTCAGGGGGAGTGGTCAGACTTTCATCCTTAAGCAGAAAGCAGGCTTCAGGGTATTATGGATGCTTTTGGCCCAGCAGAGGACATGCCTAGTTTACAAAGAGTTTTATCAGGAACATATGTTGTATTCTTTCAAATGCACTTTCTGTAGCCATTGATCAACAGTTCCCCACCCCATTTAAGCTGCGAATCTTCTCCATTATTACAACTGCCTTCCCATAGTATGGTACTTACTAGAAATGCTTTTCTGTTCCATGTCTAGGGTGATACACTGTTGAGACCTTTTACTATTGTCCACAGGTTCCTCTGGCTCGGCTCATTCTTTTTTCCATCTCTTTCTGTATGATGCTAACTGGATCATTCCAGTTGATCTGCTTATAAAGTTACCATGTCTTCCCTTCATCAGCCCCCACCCTGTTCCTGGGCCATTCCAGAGAGATTTTGTTTCTTTTAATTTTAGTCAAACTTTCTCATTTCTAACACTTCATATCTTCTTTGCTGCAATTCTATATTATTTCATCACAGTGCAGCCACTGAGAGGTCTCTGGGTAGGTTATTTATTTTGTTACGCTTGGTTTTAGATACTGAGTAAATTTCAATTGCATCCCAGACATTTTGAAAACAATGACTTGAGATTCTGATGTTGTTGTTTCTTTTTTTTAAAAGTCCATCTCCAAAACCATCTTATTCAACTATACACCCACTTCCCAGATGGCACCCTCCCATAGCCTCACTCCCCCCACTAGAGCCATTATACTCTGATATCCCTGCTACTGTCTGCTGTGTTGTCAGCACCCCCAGCCATTCCCCACTACTTGTCCATCTGATGAATCTAGTCAGCCTATCTAGAGGTCTTTGTTTTAGGAAGGTCAGCTGTTCCTCATATAGCAGCAAACAGTTGTCAATATTC